GATTCCGATCTTTCAACTGGCTCTTCAGGACGCACTCCCACTCGACGGGCCGCTCTGGTGATCGCTCCTTCACACACTGGTTGCACTTCAAGCTGACGGTTCCTTGTCACAACTGCTTCGGCTCCGAACAGCTCATCCTCAAAATCATTTCTTCTTTCCATTTGGAGGTCATCGCTGAGCTCTTTGCGCAGGTTGGCTTCTAGCTGGGCGGCTTCAGCTTCATCTACGGCGTCTTGTAGCTGTTTTCTCCTCTGAGCTTCCCTTTCTTGGCGCCGTCTCACCTCTTCTTGCTTCTGCTGAATTCGTCGTCTCTCCTCTTCTTGCTTCTCTTGAAGCCGCTCCTCTTCTTGGTTGCGCTTCAGCTGCTGTAGACGTAAATACTTCAACTTTGCAGCGACTTCTGCTTCAACTTGCAAAGCTTTCGAGGCGTTACTTGTGTTGCTTCTTTGAGCGGCAGACACATGAGAGCCGGCTTCCGATGGCGCCTCATCTTTGCGCTCAGCAAGGTGCTGAGTGATTCTTTCCCCAACTTCTTGTCTGTCGTGCTCAGCTTTTGCGCAATACGCTTCTGCCTCAGCCCTTTCAGTTTGAGATGTCAGACAGGCTTCTAACGCTTCATTTGCTGCGATGACACCTTCCAGGGTCGAGTCAATGGTTTCCAACAAACCTTCTAGGCGCGACCGACTCCCACGGGCTGCGATGATCGCTTCCGCTCGGTGACACGCCCGTGAGAATGCTGCCAACTTTTGCCCCCGTTTTCGGCGCAGCAGTTTCAGGTTTTCACTGGCTGCTTCTTGACGAGCTTCTTCCTGGACGCTCTCTTCCTGCTCGGCTGCGCCGGGCTGATCTGTACCTTCTGTTTCTGACATGATGCGGGCTCTATCCGGCCCGGAGGACCAGTTAAATGTCGCAGACGCAGCAGCCGGCGCCGACTCGGTGACGTTTGTGCCTGTGCGTCACGAGCGCTCTATAGTGGACTGTATCTTGTTTCTGTGTGACTGGGCTTGGCTACTGGTCCATGGCATTTAGGTGACTGAAACGCAGACCCTCATAACAGGTACAAGGATGAGTAGGGATAGAGGCCACGATGGCGTGACTCGAGGGGAGGTTAAAAAGTCGCGCTGGCGCAACGGGGGTTCGTAGGACAGAGTCCACGATGGCGTGAACAGAGGTGAGGAATAGAGACCGTGATGGCACGATCGGACGAGGTTGGGGCTGTGCCGGCCTACCTTTAAGAGAGATAAGGATAGAGGCCACGATGGCGTGACACGGGGAAGGTTAAAGAGTCGCGCTGGCGCAACAGGGGCTCGTAAGGACAGAGTCCACGATGGCGTGGACAGAGGGGAGGAATAGAGACCGTGATGGCACGATCGGGCGAGGTTTGGGCTGTGCCGACCTACCTTTAAGAGAGATAAGGATAGAGGCCACGATGGCGTGACACGAGGGAAGGTTAAAGAGTCGCGCTGGCGCAACAGGGGCTAGTAAGGACAGAGTCCACGATGGCGTGGACAGAGGGGAGGAATAGAGACCGTGATGGCACGATCGGGCGAGGTATAGGGAGGAGGGTAATTCTGCGTTTGAAGTGTAAGTGAAGTGAAGTGTAACTGGAATGTATACTGTGCCGCTATCTTGATTCTCTCACTCCTCGCTCTCGGTGATCACTTCCTTTGTCACACCACTGCACTGATTTCACAGTCTGTATTGCAAAGAGCAAGATCCGGCAAACCAATTACACTGCTTGAAGGCTGCGACGAGCGGAACGAAACAACCGCCCGGCTCGACGACTGAGGCAGAACAGAGAGAAACTTGAGTAAACTGTGCCGCTAACTTGAAGTCTTTTGCTCAATCGCTCCAGGTGACCACTTCCTTGGACACACCACTGCACTAATTCACAGTCTATGTTGCGATGAACAAAGAGCCGGCAGAAAACCGCCACACTGCGTGGAGGCTGAGCCGAGCGGAGCGAACAACCGCACGGCGCGAAGACTGGGAGGGAACAGAGAGAGGGAGGTGTTTACAGCAGGTTTAAATACGACTGGCAATGGGGTCACACACAGGGGAGATAGCGAGGGAGCAAAGCAAACGGTATTAGGCAAACTAACTGGACGCGACGAACCGGAGATAAAGAAAGAGAAAGGGCGCGACGCAGCGCGCCAGCGGCCGCCGGGACGGACGCAGCGCGCTAAACAAACGTAACCGGGCCCGCCGCGCCGACCACGTTCCCCGTGAACAAAGCTATCGACGGGCGTCGCCGCGAGAGGGGTCAGGTCCGGCACACACAGGTGCGCGCAAAACACCCCCACTGGGGCGGGGGGGGGGGGACGGCGCGGCGGCCCGCTCGGCTGACCCACCGGCCGCCCGCCACCTTGCTCGCGAGACGGGCGACAGGACAGTTTTGGCGGTCACAGAGGTCAAATGACGTTTTTGCCAATAACTTGGCACATAATGACGCTAAAGCTTAAAAAATGGTATCATTGTGTTTCTGGTGATCAGCCGAATCGAATGATATGCGATATGATGCAATTTGGTTAACTTGAACTTAATTCATTAATTTAAGTTTACTTAAAATTTAAGAAAAACTTTAAGTACACTTAAGCAAGCTAAAAAGTATATCATTCGACGCGCCTTGACGTGCTGAGTTCACTGGTGCTTTTCTTTTTTGCTCTATCATAATTAGATCAAAAGTTATAAGCGAAAAACTTTTGACCTGTTTTTAGCGAAATTTTTACACTTATACCCCCCAAAACCCCCCTAAATATTGACCTAGAGCAACCAAATTTGCACAGGGGCGAGAACTCCAGGGCGCCCACCTACCTACCAAATTTGGTGTTTCTAGGTGCCTTAGGAGCCAATCGCGAGGGGGGGGGGTCGCATCGACCCCCCCTGCCAGGCCGTGTTATGAAAAATGCCCTGCCAGGGCGAGGGTTAACCCGGGCTGGCCAGGACCTTTCCACAATTATGGAGGTGTTTGGGAACGCTTCCCGTTGCGTTGATAAGCCCTTGTTGCTCTTCATTTGCTTGCAACAGACGTTAAGCCGCGCAAAAAGGACATCCATATTCCTTATAACAAAAGAAGCAAATTTGTATATGTCAATAAGGCCATTTGACAATAAGGCTATTTGGCTATAACCGAGATCAGGAAACATTTGGTAACAATTTTCGGCCGACATTCAGATACTCTCTGTTTTCAAAACGAACACCATGTAATAATAGATTTCTTATCACCCGCACGGGGTCAGTGCTCGGTGCCAACTGCGCTGGGTCGGGAGAGGGGGGGGGGCGCTGTTTTAACACGCCCGTCTAACTCGGCTCTTGGGCGAAGTAGCGGAACCCAGTAAGCGGTGGTCGAAACTAAAGATCGCCAAAATCACGAAGATGGTACTTTGCTCAACTCTAAGGTCATGTCAAAGGTCATGTGCCACCAGAAGTCATCAGAGGCCACACTGCGCCTACCTTTACACTTTTTGACAAATCGGCGCATAGCTCAGGACACCGATATCGAAACTCCGTGAGCTATGTGTTTTGCATACGGTTGCTTTTATCAACCACTCGAAGTTTCAAAGCGATCGTGCAGTCGGTGTGGCAGTGGCAAGCAATGTAACTTTTTTCTAGGGAAAATAACTCGACGTAGCCTGGTGACCTTCTATTGAGCAACCTTGCTCTGAAATTTTCTCAACGTGTAGAAAAAAGTGCATGAAGAGTTGTACCGAAAACGGCGTCGTGGAGCGCCGTCGTTTTTGTGATATTTGCGTAAAACCGCATGGCGTGTCCAAACTCCTCCCGCCCGGCGCGTGCTAACCCCTTTCCTGTACACTACATACGTGGGGCAAGGGCTAGCCAGCTGTCTTCGTGAGCCGTGACTCATTCCACTGCCTTAGATCCCCCTGTGTATATTTGTGGACTCATAATACCACTGATGTCAAGTCATGCATGCACATATTTTTGCACAAATGATTGTCAGTGAAGTAGCTTACCCCATTTGCATTTCTGCTTCTCTATTTGCTCACTAAGATCCGAAGAAGTTTCTCAGAGGCCGTACTGCTTAGATGTGAGGTGGCGAAAACTCACCATTTCTCAGAGTCGTGTCAGTGCGTTGATGATAGCTCAGCGAACCTAGAACAGCATTGCGTAGCGATTACGCCTACGATGTCACAGACCTTCGCTGTAATCTGATCCGCCTTTTGAGGCGAGCGCTATTTGCCGCCGACCGGCCCGGGAAAGGCCGAGGAAAATGGACATTTTAACCGTAATAACGTTCTCGGTGAATTTCAGGCACTTTCGTTAAATAATGGAGCTGATGCTTTCCTTAGAGTTAGAAAGAACCAGGCTTAAAGGCTGCATTTGCGTCTGATGGGTATTTGCTGGGCTGAATCTCCGCAGTTACCTTTTGTCTTTTTAGTGGTATTTTGCGGGTGATATGTGCTGTAATTTGCCAGTAGAGTGTTAATTTTGTATGACACTTTTCATATTCGTGTCTTCAATCAATAATCACTTGTATTGATATTGTGCATTGCATCTGCTCGTGTGGTCTTTTTGGTCTGTTGACAAGACAGATCAGAAACATACATTCGTTGTCACGTCTGATGTCACAGTCGTTGAGAGGCGTGTCGCCGATATTTAGGCATGTTGCCTTTGCATGTTACACCCCTCACCGCTGCACTGTAGCGTGCGCTGTATTGTAGAAGATGAATGTTGTTCTTTTTGTGCATCTGCTGGGATTGCAACCGATTTTGTTTTGTGTGTGTAGCTCTGAACGCAATAGCCGTATTGTCGACTGAACGTGCTGAAAAGCTATGCCTGAAAGCTGAGTAAGCTATACTTAAAGCTAAATTGCTGACCCTTTTTATTTTGTCTCGCTCTGTCGTAGCATCGCGGCGCTTTCGAAAGTTTTTCCTCTATAGCTTAACACTTCCTATAGCTTTGAACGGTCACTGTTTGTTATTTGTTGTTTTCTTGTTTCTGTGTGCCATGTATAAATTTTGCTGCTTCAAACCAAACCGTTAGGTATCACATATTCATATATATTGTCACAGGTACAGGCAAGACTACCTATAATAAGATACACGCATGTCGAATACAATCATATAGTGAGCATTGAGCAGCCACCGACAGACTCTGAGGGGCTGTTTGCTCGCATAGGCAGGCGAGGTGACGCATTTGTTCGCCAGTTACAAACAACACGCATAAGTCGTTATGCACGACATGTCTTCGACATGTCTTATAACTTCAGGAGATCTGATAACCACAAGGCGGACAACACTGTCCAAGTCAACGCACCCGTTCCGACGTGATAACTTAAATCAACACAATCAACAGCCACAGTTCACAAAAATTGAAGAAAAAATAAACGCTATGACCAGCGGTCTTTGCCATTTCAATTGTCGCTTTCCTATTTGAATTTTGCGGTCCTTTATTCATTTAGTTGGGCGCAAGATAAACATAGTAGACATTGATAAATACAAAATGTCCCTTTCGGGCAACTCATGATGAAGATGACGATGGTGATGATGAATGACAAAGATGAAAATTGCCTTTGAAACAAAGTCCTGAGATGCAGTGACTAGAAACTTAGTTAAACCAAGTACAGCTGTTCGGTTGAACCAAGTTTTAGGGCATAATGACACTGAACGAGGCCGTGCAACTCATAAGTTACAATGTTAGATATTAGTCAAATGATGTGTAACTGAACAACAGCATTTGCCAAAACGCAGGTGCCCAGCCAAATGACCCATTCGATGATCCGAATAGCTGTCCCTGTTGCCATCCTTGGCGACCGACAATACGGGCACACGGATCAAGTAAGAGTAAACGAGGGCGTGCTCAGCCACTTGCGAGCGAGCGCCGTCCGACGACCTGTCGGAACACAGGCCGGTGCAAAGTTCGTGTCTGCCACCTGATCCGGGATGACCGGAATGTTTTCACCGGGGATGAAATGCGCAGCCATTTTTCATCTCGACCGGCTGCCTCATTTCCCTGGTGCCCCGTTTCCGGAGGCGCCTGTGCAGGGTTGGCTCTGCATTCGGCGCCGGGCCACGTCCCGCTCAGCCGTGGAGCCCCAAGGCCGCTGTTCTCTCCGTGCCGGGCCTGGCAACAGCCGCCGACCGTGCCGGATCGGTGTGGGCCCCCGTGATCACCGAGTGGTCGGTACTGGGCGCAGTCTCACACCGCCGATCTCCGGTCATGTCAATCACCGACAGTTTGCCTCTGGCGGCGTCGCTCAACTTCTGACACCCTGGGGGAGCTCCTTGCCGTCCACCAGCGCCAGGTAGGGAGCCGAGAGCAGGAACCTGCCGTACGTGTCGTTCTCCATCAGGATCTGGACCCGCCGCTGCGCCCGGTCGAACAACTCGGTGGTCGGACTGGAGAGACCTTCCTTGACGGCGGTGCGAGTCTTCGAGTCCACGTTCACCTGTCGGCAGGGAGAGAGAGCGCTGTTAGAGCCCATTGTGACGTGTCGCGCTGACCTCGGCTGCACAGACGGGCCGGCGCGGCGGCCGCGCGTGACGTCAGCGGGCCAGCCGTGTCACGGCCTGACGTCACCGGCGCGGCGTGAAATGGCGCCGCCGCAACAACATTCGATCACTGAATGCGACTATCTCTATGCGAGACGGATGATGAGTTGCAGCACAGGTAGGCTTTTCGATACTTTATGCAATTAGAGAGAGCCATGTTATGTTTCAGAATATCCTGGATGTTGTGCTGAGTGGATATTGGCTACGCGTTTGCCCAAATCCTCAAATGGTGGATGTGCGTCAGAGGCATAATAATCAGACGTTGAATATGGACAGTGCATAGTTGAATGCATTTGAAGCTCACCTGTCTGGGGGCGGTTGGCGCGACGAATTCATCATAGATCTGGTGCGCCGAGGCGGTCAGGTTCAGATGTTTGGCCTGCTTGTACTCCTCAACGGCCAGCCAGAAGTCGAGGTTCTCCTCAGAGAACTCTTGCACCAGAAAACTCCGGAACAGCGAGAGACCCTCTGCAATAAAAGAGACCCCTGTCAGTGATGATGTCGAGTCTCAGTCAGTTAATCGGTACATGGCTATGTAGATTCGATGCCATAGAAGAAAACAGACGACGCTCAAAGTTCCTACGACTTAGCGACTACTTCGCCGTAAGGAAGGGCACAGTTGCACTAATCATATGCATACACAGCGACTACATTCAAAGTACTCCGCTTATCGGGCATGACACGAAAAGAAAACAGGCGGTCCCTGGTCATCTGCAGCGGCCGGCCGACTGGCAATGAGCGGCCGGCCGGCGCACAGGGCCGGCCCGTGTCCCGCCGCCGCGGACGGGTCGCTGACGCACCGCAGACGTCATCGGCCGCATGCTAATCGCCGCCGACGGCATTCATGAGGAGGCGAACGCCGTGGTACCGCTTCACCCGGCCCATCAGATAGCGCCGCCGACACCGTGTGTGGCAATAAACCAATCGGCCCGGCGGCCAACACCGTCGCTCTCCTCCGGAAGGCTCAGAGGGCGCAGGTGGCCGCGGGCGGTGCATACATTTGCATCTCGATGCAGGTCATTCATCGTCCAATCGCGCTGCGCGGCGGAGCTTGTCACACCGACAGCGGAGGCGCGGTGACCGATGAGCCCTGTCTGGGTCTGTTTCCGGCGACCGATCATGAGTCGGTGGGTGTGAACTGGTGGCGCAGCGGGCTCTCCGAGATGCACTCGCGCTCGGCCGGCACGCTCCCGACTCCACGCTCCACTGCTCCCGGCCGGAAGGGTCGGAGGTGTCAATCTGTTCATGGCGTCGGCCTGGACGTGTCACGCTCGTACCGGTTGCGTCCGGCTGGTGACCGCCAGCTCCGGATTGAGCCACCTGCGGCCGGCGTGTCCGTCTCATCAGCACGCTGTGTCCGGCATCGGGAGCGGCGTGCTCTCCTCATCAGCGGCACCTGGACAGGAAGGCCGGCGCGTCCGGGACTCCGGTCACGTCTGATGGCGAGACAACAGCGCGGCGCCGGAAGCAGCTCCGATGTACCGGTCGTCTGCAGCTGAGGGGTACTCTCTGTCTCTCTGACTGGTGCGTGCCGGGCATCGCGGAGTTGTCATCTGGGAAGCAGGAAACGCCATGCTGCGCAATGCCTGGACTGATATCGCTACAGTTTGTTGCTTGTTTGTTTGCGGATGCGAGGATGAGTCGCCGTGGCAATCGGCTACCATTATAGACCCTGGGTGAGTAACAGGATCTTGCATTTGTCTTTCTCATAACTTGCTTAGCAAGTTCGATTAGTAACCATTGACTGTGTCATGTTTTTATCTATGTACTCTGACTCGGACTAAATATTAAGCCACTATGTGGAAATGTCCTCAATACACCGAACTTGAACTTGAACCAACAGAACCCCGGGGTGAGTGGTGACGCCCCGCTCCGCTTTTGGCTAGGGCCGTGTGAGTTTACCCAGTGGTGTTGAACATCTCAAACAAACTTTCCGGCTCGACGGACGCGGTGTTCGCCCCGGCGCGGCCTAATATTACCGTTGGTAGCGCCGGCCGCGTCCGGGTACCCCGCGGGTTCTGTTGACTCGACCCGTCAGGTGTGGCGTCATGTTTGCAAGGAGAGCCGTCACGTGAGTGAGAGCGCGAGCTATCGACCGTGCAGTTCGCCGCGCGGTGATCGGTGATTGATGTGAGCGGTCCGAGACCATCAACGCCTCCGCGCTGGTGTAACTCGGCCAAACAACTGCTGTAATCTGTTAAACAACTGATGTAACTAACGGTCCGGCAGCCTCGTGAGCGTTAGCTGATGAAACGGTGTCTAGTCGGCCGCTTAGATCCCACTGATCTCCGCCGAAACGACTCGGCGAGCGCATCCTCCGCTAGGAATGAGCGGCTACGTGCATAAGACTGCAAGTGGACTGCCACTTGGTGCAAACCGTGCCCGGTCGGTCGGCCCGACGGACTTTTTATTTCATCATGCGGGCTGCACGGGCGTCGCTCTTCCCCGATTATCAGCCCGTTAAGGTGGCGAGAAAGATGTCGGGGTGGGCACGATGAAGTCATGCCTCGCCATGTCGAATTGCATCATGGCAGTACCGGCCGCGGACCGGTCGAACGGTGCGGCTTGCCGTTCCCGGTGGCGGCGAACCATTGTCGGGGTGTGCCGAACACGTCCGGCCAGCCGGGGTGCGTTTGACGTCACCACTTCACAGTACGCCAGCGTGTGCGCAATACGGACGCAGAATAGGTGCGGCAACACCCAAAGTGGTAGAGTAGGGGGTATGGGGGAGAGCTCACAAACCCCGACAGGAAGCTCGTCATGGTTCAACTCAGGCCCTATCCATCGGCGATCATGACAGTCGCCTGCCTCAAAAGGCGGTCTCGAGATGGACCTGTCAAAACAGAGCTGTCGGCCGCGCCTCAGCGGGCATATCTCCTGGGTCCCACTGCCAGACAATCATGTAGAATACATTCCGTTGGAATACAGCGGAGACATTATGAAAATCGCAAACCGGTTCAGTTGGCGATGTTCGCCCGAGGTGAATGTTTTATAAATGACGGTGAATTAGGTGGGAACGTTAAAATGAATTTGTTGTTCCATGGTGTCAAGAGTATAACTATGGCTCTTTCTATGTTGCGGCCTATCAATTAAGGAAATGAAGGGCTGGGCCACATTTTCCGCCTCGATACAAATTTGCCCGGTAAATATCAATCTCAGATGATTGAAAAATAGGATGTTTTCGAAGCTTCAGAAATTAACGGCTACGTTTTGCGGTAAACTTAATTGAAGTATTATTGTTCAATGTCATACTACGACTTAAATGAATGTCGTACGGTGTTGTTTTCTTTTCATCTTTTTTATCATTAATATTACCTGTCCTACCCAGGGAAAAGTCACAGGAGCGACGTCCGGGCATTGTGGCGCTGAAGGAAACCCGCCCTGGTTACCGCTATGTCCCCGTTCTACCGGTATGCAAAAATGGCCAGACTCACTTTGTGATACCGCTGCACACTGAAAATAAATTCACACCCGCTCCTGGTGTTTACACCTTTTTAGGAAATGTTTACACCCCACCGTTTTTGAGCACCTGCACCGGTGTAGTTTCAACACCAAGCTTTGGTGTAAGCATACACTGAATCCTGGTGTAACACCAGGCACATACACTGGCGTATGGCGTTAAATCACTGTAAGTACACCAGTTTGTGGTGCTACACGACGTCTCTACACCATAAAAAGGTGCTACACCATTAATTTGCACCTTCTTTACGGGTACAAAACAAATACCCTTACACCAATGTGTGGTGTTAGTAGCCAATTGGGTACACCCTCTTCCGGTGTTGTGAAGGAGATACACCGGTGTTTGGTGTAGCTGCAGCTCGATGAATTTATATATATATATATATATATATATATATATATATATATATATATATATATATATATATATATATATATATATATATATATATATATATATAGGGTCTGTGTGAACATATGTGACAAGTCCATATGGGTATACTGTGGCTTGCCTAGACCCCATACAAAGCAAAGCATTCCTTAAATAAAGACAATTTATTTTGTAACGTCCGAGACGAGCAATAAACAAATGTTATTAACAAAAATTGCGGCAACTGTGAGTGGCGCTTTCTCAAGTGCACGGGTGGTCACCGGACTCTGCTGACAACATACCAGACCAGACATTTATCTCACACTTATTTATCACACTTATTTATCACACTTATTTATCACTTATTTATCTCACACAGGGCTGCGGAGTCGATGGATTTTCGGCGACTCCGACTCCGACTCCGACTCCGGCTTTCAAAAACCAGCTCCGACTCCGACTCCGACTCCGGGCAGAATTGTCGACTCCGACTGACTCCCAACTCCCGACTCCGACTCCGCAGACCTAGCAGGGCTGCGGAGTCGACAGATTTTCGGTGACTCCGACTCCGACTCCGGATCGGGTTTCTAAAAGCGACTCCGACTCCGACTCCTACTCCGGTCACAACTGTCGACTCCGACCGACTCCGACTCCGACTCCGACTCCGACTCCGACTCCGACTCCGACTCCGCAGCCCTGATTCTCACACCACCTCCAGTCCCCACACAGCCCCGCATCACTCGACTCAAACTGAAGCGCGAATCAACACGCCGCCGTTCATTTGAATTTACGCATGTGCACGCGCAGCCGCTCGCGCTGGCCGGCGGCCGGCTGACCTTGAATCCAAGGCCATATCCGATCCATGGTAACGGTGCTAGTAACACCGTTTAGAGATCAATGAACTGGGAGCTACACCATTGTGTGGCGTATGCGATATAACGTCTCTGTCACGGGGTGTTGACACCAAATGGTGGTGTTATTTATCCGTAGCGTCGGTTGGTCTTAGGTGGCATTGGTGTTAATTATCGGTGTTGATTTTGAACACCGAGTAATTGCACCATTCTTCGGCGTCACACCCCACAGTTACACAGTTGAGTTGTGTTACACCCTACCAAAACGCCTCTCATTGGTGCTTTTTTTCGTGTCACCGGCACGCGAGTGTTAATTTATTTTCAGTGTGTGCAGCAATGGCGGCCATCTTCAAACATTTCCGTAATGCAGTGCCGATATGCGACGGTACAAAGGAGATGGGCAGAGCGCGCTAACGGGATCTGGATTGGATCACAGTGGCACCTGTGTCGATCGCTCCAGGTTTGGAAATAGCCGTCACGCTTCACCATATCGGTGAGACGAGCAGCGCGGCGTCGGTCCCCTGCTCTCTGCACCATATTCGTATCAGTACGAGAGCGAGAGTCGGTCGAGATCTGAGGGAAAGAACTGCGCAAGAGCTACTCACGTTTGGAGCTGAGCAGGGTGGCGAGTGAGCTGGCCCAGAGGCGCGCCTGCTGCTGCTGTTGCTGTAGTTGTTGTTGCTGTTGTTTCGTGATCTTGGGCGTCTCGCTGCGGCGGCGGTAGAGCGGTCCGAGCAGGCCTCCTCGCGGGCTCAAGCTGCCGGAGAACGCGCCGTCAGACAGGGCTGCCAGGGTGGCTCGCGAAACCGGCACAGGCACGGTACCGGTGCACGAAAACCCAGACATGGTGGGGTGGACGCATGGGGACGTCTGGCGACTAGCGTGCTTTTCTAGCATGTGGCGACCAAAATAAACAATTCGATGCCGATCGAAGTGCATTCCTTCGGACTTCACCAAGGACGGATTTGGCTAGATAATATTACAGCGCATGCCTTTGCTACCAAATACAAACTCCCCAATCATGTGATCTGGGATGATGGGCCGTGATTTTTTTTTTTACTGCGTCTGGTCCGAGACCGGTCGAGGGGCCCGCCGATGGAACCCAGAATGACCCGTTTTGGATGGGGGTAAGTGCACGGCGCGTTCTGCATATCGCATTCCAAATGCGCCAATATGCCGGGCCGGGGCCTGCAAGGGTCGGTCTCGGCACCTCTGCTCTCCAGCCGGCAAAGGGACGACACAGACCGCTCCCGTCTGCCTGCCCACTACTTTGCAAGTCTAACACGGCACCCGTGACCCGCAGCGCGGGGCGGGAATGAATTTCCAGACAGCCCGTTTTGGGCCGGAACGTTCTGGACACACGTGGTCCAGATCTTGCCGTGTTATGACACGGCTGAATCCAAGGGCGGCACGGAAAGACGGGCACAGTGACTCAGCGACCGTCTTTGGTAATGGTGTGATACGGGAAATATCGGGGCTCGGTGTGCACGTCTGACGTCACTCCTCTTTGCACTGAATCATATTTCTTGACCTCTAAATGCAAATGAAGTGCCATAGAAGGGTTTACATATAAAACCCCGGAAGGCTATTGAGACGCAGTCATGAGCAACCGTGTCACATTTCCCTGATCCGACAGACTGTGATTGATTGTCCATTGTTATACTCGAGGAAGCTACATAAAACAATCCGAAAACAAGGAACATCACTATCTTGAACTGTCAAGAGATTCTCGTTAAATTCACCAGCCACAATAGTCAGGGCGTGCTCATGTGAATACGGACACAATAGCCTAGCAACAGTCAATCTTTTCCTTTGGAACACGAAGATATATGGAAGAAAATCAAACATGCAACTTCATCCCCGCAAAAGCTACACCGCCTCGCACATCATCCCACACAGGAGCAACACTCACCTCAGCTGCTTCGCAGCCAGCTTGGCCACAACTCTCTTCCACATCTCCAGGGTCTTCATGATGGCTGTGTGTGCGGAACTGACACGACTGATCGCTTCGACGTCTGGTCGCCGACTGCCGGAGCGGCGGCCGCCGGGCGCCAGGCCGGCTGCCGTGACCGGCGGCGCACGTTGCCGCCCCCTGACGGCGCACCGGTCGTCGGCAGGACGACCGGTGTCGGACCGCCCACGGTCGGTGTCGGTACCTACCTGTGTCGGGCCGTCACGCGGACCTCTGTCCCAACTCCCACGGGGGTGACGGACGACCGGCCGTCTCCGGTGGGAGTGGGACTGATCCGACACCGCGCGCGGGGGCACGGGCTATCCAAAAAAGTATCGATGACCAAAATAGAAAATAAAATGATGGTTTGGGTCACCTAGTCAAATATTTCCAGGAGCTTAGGTACATTTTGTATAAGATGGCTATTTCTTTGTGTTTTTTTTTTAGCCATTTGTTTTAATGCGCAGCGCTAGGAGCATCCACATTGTGTGATAAGTGTAAAGTCACCTACTGCATGTTGATTCAATATTTTGTGTTCTTTCCTCCAGCTCCGAGGCGCTGCTTCAACCGACGTTTTAGATCAGATCGTCATTTCATTGTAGTTGGTTTCAATTCACGAGATAAAGCTATCAAAATTAAAAACACGTTCCAATTTCTCATCCAAAAAGTCGGATTTCATGTTCAGCGATTTCAGACGGGATTCAACACTCAATGGTTTTTATCCATAGGCATGCGCATTGCACATTATTTATAAGTACCTGTAGGCATCACTGATTTCAAATTTGGCATTCAGCTCATATCATTGATGTGATAATTCGAAATTTAAAGAATACGTTTTTCATGTATCTACACCAAAAATGTTAAATTTCACATCAAGCTGCCAAACAATAAACATCGAATGGTTTTAAGTTTATATCGTTGCTCATAAATTGCAACATGTCTCACTGCGTACCACATTTCCCAGCCCTAGCCTTAGTCCTTTCTGCATCTAAAATCTTTCGGTTAATGTTTAAGCGTTTGTTTTTTTGTTATATTAAAACAAATAATTTGACATGGTTCTTAAACCGTGCCATGCTGGGGACGGGGGTGTTTGAACACCCCCTACGGTTTTTCGCGATTTTCTGCGCCATTGTTTTTGGCACTTATCATACATCATTTTTGCACATTCTGTGAAATTTTCAGATCAAGGGCACTCAAGGTCAGGTCACCAGGTCACGCCAAATGAGTCACTTGTGATTCCCTATGACTCACCTAATAAAAAGTTTCAATGCCTGCCATAGCCACACCGAGTGACCGATCACTTTGGAACATTCAGCCAAGTGATAAGGGCAACAGTATGTACAAAATGTTTATCTCAGAAATTTGATATCGGTGGACGGTGACCTTAGGTCAGGTCAGTTTTGTAACCTCTCCATTGTCAGTCAATGGGGGGGGGGGGGGGGAGGAGGGAATTGAAAGGCGCGTCTTTCGAACGAACGTCGTTCCAAACACTGTCAATATCGAATTGCATGTAAACAGGACACACTGAGCCGAAAAATGGGGAAAATGGCGCCCATGACCCCTCGTTATGTCCCTGAGATCATCTCAGGTCACATATGGCATGGAACAGTTTTTCGCTAATATTTAACTTTTGATAGAGGCACGCTAGAGCGATTAAAACACCCTAGCTTGTTCTGCTCGACGATACGGATCGACTGATATGCAACATGATCTTTTGCGGTCAGGTCGTGACCTGGACCTGAGGTCCAATTTTCAAGTTAACATTTCGAGGTCGCCTTATAGTTCATTCGATGCGTCTTGGCGAGAGGAACACGATGCTGCTAAGGGTAAGCTCGTACAATTTGTGAGCCAAAAGTTTTCGCAGAAAGACTTTCCGCAAAACACGTCTATTTTGGCAGTCTTTGCCCCCTGCACACTAAACCGTTGACCGTAGGTCAAATCTGAAAAAAAATATTCCGACAGACGGCCGTTTAAAGAGCTATCGAATGCGCTTTTGCGCGGCGCTTCGCCTGTATCCGTTCCTGAGCTATGCGCCGGTTTGTCGAAAATTATCGAATAATAACCTGGAAAGTGGCGTAATTTTACCTTCGCTGACCTCTGGTAACCTGACCTTTGACCTGACCAAAAATTAACCGGCACCCCCCCCTAAATTAGCAAACACCCTCCGCCTCTCAGTAGGGCGTGGAAATCCAGGACCCCCAGCGTGGCGCGGGTGATGAGCCGTAGTGGGATGCTATAGGATACGAACAATACAATAGGTACATATATACTAGGATAGGTACTAAGTAGGATAGCAACAAAACACGTTCATTAAACATAAGATAAAAATAACCAAGCTGAAAATAATAAGTGTTTATCAAATCAAATCATAGTTATGGATTGTTATATCTAATTCTAACTAGGTAGCGATTGGTTGTTGTGGTCTTGTCTTGTCTCTAGCTTACCAACGGGGCGGAGAAAATTCCCCCCTTAATATGAGTCCACTGGACACTGCTTCACTCCACTATGACGCAACATAAGCAAAGAATAAAAAGAAGAAAATGACCCATGCATGCATGCAAGTAAAATTAATAAAGCCGTCCCCAATAATTACGTCAATGCTACTCTCCGTAGAGCATGCGTAACTAACTACGTAAATTCAAAAAAAAATCCCTTAGCTTAATAGTCCCTGCGGTAAGCCGATGTCAGGGAAATTATTCAGTGTGAGGCCCTTGCCGGTTTTTCCTTAATGAGTCTCATCAAGTGCCGAGCACATATGAAGAGAATTCCCCTTAGCTGCGTAGCGGGATAACTACGCGTCTTTTTTTCTGTAATTAGGCATTGTAACGGCGAAACCGGTGGTTCATCGACGGCGCTCTGTACACAAAAGAGGCGCAGGTGTTCTTTTAATCAGACTCTTCTCGTTTTGGCCTAACCAGGCCCATTTCACTCCACTTTTGATGACATCCTAAGGGGGCCTCAGGACAATTAATGGCGCGGCGCGCCACAATCGCTTCCAAGCCACTTGCCGACAGCTGCCATTTTTGAAAATATTATTTTGAAATAAAGTTACAAATAATAAAAAGGTTGTAGTAAAGTTGTTAATTTAAGCGATACCTTATCTAAAAACTTAGTGAAAAATGATTTCTTCATAATAAAACTATAAGCTCGATGCGTTTTTACGTTGCTTTCATGCTACTGCAGAGGGTTTTAAATCGTCTATATCTTCAAAACCGGCCATTTCTTAGCATATTGCCGCTTTTTTGTCGCTTGAAAATTAGTTGGCCTTTCCATGGACACCAACGGTTGAGCAGTATATGTAGGGTGTAATCACTAATCTTCAAATAAATCTAGTCATCTTTACGTTGAAAAGGAATAAAGTACCCCTTGCGAGCATCAGGGGTGACGTTACTCAGGATCTGTCTCTGATTGGTCGGCGGGGGAGTGACTGTATGTACCTTCTATATATGGCCTTGGGCCTAACAACTGGGGATTTTCATAGAACAAAACAGTTATGTCCTGCATATTTGTACCGAACAGGACTTGACGTCATGTATGTACAGATATTCGATGCCTTTGACCACCGACCGGAGCCCGTATCCTTTTGTGCGGTTGTTCCTAGCCTGCTACTTTTGAAGCGAGAGTTATCATCACCTGTATCCAGTACACGCTGGTAATGGTGCATTGGGACTGGTGACTGTGTTGACGTCATTGTGACGTCACAGTTATTAACGCTGTGCAAATTAAGAACGAACGCAATCGAGCGAACAGCCGCTTCTGATGCTAAGCGGATAGCATCAGCCGCGCCTCCTGGCCGGGTTTCCAAGAAAACTCGGGTCAGAGCAAGTTTGATCCCAACATTGCATTGATGGATCAGTTGGTAGAAATTAGCTTATATTATACATATTAATGGTAATATAGACAATATATTGCCATGCCAATGTTTATTATCTAATATTGACGGTTAGCGCCGTATTTCGCTGTTTATCAGTCCACATTTGCCATGCCAAATTAATATATTATACATATTAATGGAAATATAGACAATATATTGCCATGCCAATGTGTATTATCTAATATTGACGGTCGGCGGCGTATTCCGCTGTTTATCAGTCCACATTTGCCATGCCTTCTGCCAAAAGCTTTATATAATTGATATAGGCCTGATATAGGTGTAACATCTATGTATCGACAGCTCACTGTATGTATATGCTCGCTGTGGCCGAGTTCAGGGGAACGAACTCAATATTAGCTCACCTGGATCAGATAAGATTAGTACACTGACCTGCTTCTCCTGCTCGATGAATCTGTTGGCTTCGCACATTCCTCTTTATCGGGAGACCTCGGCTGTGGAACGTCATAACATCATTAAATGCAGGATGTCATTGGTATCAATAGGTACTACCTTCGCTTGGATGCTCGCTGCTTATGAGGTTGTCTGCAAAGGAAAGCTAGATGTAAAGGACCAAAGAGGTAAACGATATTGTGCATGAAAATAGTAACGTCGCATACCGAATGGTTATGTAAAGCAATTTGAATGGACCTGGAACAATATACACCGATGGTATAAATATGATGCTGTACCTATTATATAAGGTGCCAATGCATTTATGACGTCAACTACATCCATCCAGTACGAGTCTTCGAACGTCGAAAAACTATCCCGTTTACTATAGCAATACAGTAACACAGTGATTACATTGTATTTGTGCATGTTACAGTGCTTACTCAGTACTCATAGTATACAACTTGTATCGATAGGGTCATGGATGTTATGTGTGCAATTGCAAATGTAAATGTAAATCAGGGGTGGAGATCTGTCAAAATTTCAGGGGGGAGGGGTCCAGGCCGGGCAGATGGAGGCGGGCTGCAGATGCAGTACCATTGACTTACATAGCAGTAATTCGTTTTCAGGGGGTCCTGACCCCCCCCCCCCGAACCCCCGAGATATCATTCACCACCTCTGATGTAAATGCAAAATATCTAATAGTCTCTGATGGCGCCAGGCGTGACCCTCTCTGATCTCGGTCAATTATTGTGACCTAAATTTAGGGTCAAATATGGCCTAATAATTGTGTCCAGTCATAAATAAACGAACGAGGC